AGCCTCTGCATTCCCTCATTTGCCCCCCAAATGGATAAATTTTGTCATGGAGCAAAAATGGCATTTTCAATTTAATATCTGAATTTTGTAATTGGAGAAAATGTCTTTTCCCATCCAAATTCCTGAAGGTTTCTCCCTATTTTTTGTTTGGTTTGGTGTCACTGCAGCTCTGTCCTTTGTGCTGGGGTAGGGGAATTTATAGTTTATAATTTAATTATTACTAATAATTAAATTAATATTAATAATAATAAATTAAGAATTTATTTTATAATGAGCACAGTTTGTTTCAGGACTCTTCCAGAGCCTGGAGCTCAGTTTTTAATCCTCCTAGGCACTGTTTTATCCTGTTTTAAGCTTCCAAATTAAGTTCAAACTTTCTCCAAACTCATCTTAAATTCTGCAGTGAAACTACAAATTAATTACACATAAATCTGTGTTACATGCACATATATATATAAAAATATTTCATGACACTTAATTTTTAAGCCAGATTTAACAGAAATATTCCTGTTTTCCTCACAACATTAATTTCCCTGGAGATCTTTTGGATGGCACTGATCACCAACTGGGAGAATTTTCCCTCAAGCCTTTTTTAATCCTAAACTTTAGGACTGCTTCAAAAGAAAATTTCCCCATTTTCATTTGCTAAAATACTACTTTGCCTAAAAATTAAGTTTTCAGAACTAAATACGGTGAGTTTTGTGTTTTGCATTAATTACTCTGAGGGACAAAGCGGGGACCCAGCTCTGTGAGCATCAAATTAAAAAGTTGATGTACAAAAAATCCTCAAGCAAATCCAAAAAAAATCTTGCCTGTAAAATGCTTCTATTTAAGCATCATTAAGTATTTAAACATTTTATTTTATCCATAAATAGAGTTTCCATGAATACTCTGGGAGTTTGCACAAAGCACAATTGTTTCCAAATTATTTTTTGCCTTTTTGCTCCTAAAACCAGGAGCAAATTTAGGACAATTCACTACAACTCCTGAAGAAACATCAGTTAAAAATAAGAATTATTTTTTTTTCCCAAACCAATCAAGAAGTTTTTAAGCTCCAGCTGAGCTGCACTGAGTTTTTAATTTAATTTTTTTTTCTCTTCTAACAACCATTTCTCCGTGTTTGTTATTCCAGGAGATGTTCTGGAATGAGGAAAAGCTTTTGGAATTCCACAGCAGCACCAGGAGCACAGAAATTCCACTGGGAGCTTCCCTGTCCTCACCAAAGGATCCTTCACAAGGAGCAGCTCATTTCTCCCACTCCAAATTCCCTTTTCATTCCTTCAGAAAACAACTGAGGATCATCTTAATGCTACTGCCCTCTGCTGCTCCTGGATTAGGGATAGGGAAAAAATTCCTGCCTCAGATTAATTTGTGACTGAGCAACTCAAAGAAAGGATTTCGGTGTATTTAAATCTAGAATATTCTAATTAAATGCAGTATAAACAAATTAAAAATCGCATTAGATGGTTCTTGTCTTATTTTGGATAATTTAAATATCCATATATTAATAATATTTTAATATCTGGAGGAGAAGTCCCTGCTAAGCACTCTGAGAATATTTATCCATCCTGGTAAATGAAATAAAGTTCAATTCTGAGAGGTTTAAATTACCTCAAGGGATCTGACAATGGATCCCTGCTCCAGATTGGAATAAAAACATGGAAATAAACAGGTCTGGGAGTGGAAAACTTTGAATTTGAAAAGTTGATAATATTGATTTTTGGGATAATATATTCAGTTTGGGATTATATACTGAGTTTTAGGATAATATATTCCCTATTGGATAATATTGTATTATTGAAGCTGTCAGAGGCAAAGTTCAGGAAAAGAAAATGCAATTCCTGCTCCATCCAAAACCTCACCAAACAGCAGGAAAACGTGTGGGGATGGGATCCCCTCCCTCTCTCCAGAGCATCCCTTCGATCCCAGACTCACCTGGGACACACTTGTGTCCACAGTTACATAAAATTACATAAAATCCCAACTTTTCCTTTGGAAAAACAACAATCCTGCAGATTTCTCTCCAGACAGACCCTACAAAAGCTCTTTGCACTCGCTGGCTTTTTCCTGCCAGAGCCATCCTGGATTTTCCTGCTTTTTCCCATTCCCCTACAGTGAATTAAAAGCTGGAATCGTCCTGAATTTTTCATTTCTGCATGCAGAACAAATCCTTGGCTCTCCTTGAATGCACACAATCCTGTTTCAGAATTTAAAGGATATCGACTTTTCCATTTAAGAACCGGGCAATAATTAAAGACCATTTCCCTGGTGCCATTTAATTAATCCCTAAATTGGAGAAACACTGCCTGGGAGGGTGGATAGCATGGAATGGCTAAAAAAAACAGAATTAAGGAACGAGAAACTCCTGGAATTGTCCTTGTTTTTATATCTCAGGTGTATCCCTGAGGCACGGGATTTCAGAACTCCAAGAAAAAAAAAGGATGGAGGCGGGGAAGAAGCAGGGCAGGTAATCAGAGGAGACAAATGTGAAAACTCCTGGTAATTCTTAAGGATAGAATACAAACAGCAAAAAAAAAAATAAATTTAAAAATCCCACTTTTCTGAGGTTTCAAGGCTCAGCTAATGTGAAGCTTTAATTATTTTTGCAGTTTGGGGTTTTTATTAAACGTGCACTGAAATACGAAACTTGCAGCTAATAGAACACATGTGGAGGTAGACGGAGCTCCTCTGGAATGATTTCATTCATTCCATGGACAGGGATGCCAGAAAAACAAAATCTGAGCTCAGAGCAACCACCAGGACAGAGAAGACAAGAGAGGGGGGGGGAAAAGTTTCAATCAGCAAGTGGCAAAATTCTGCAGAACAGCACAGATTTGGTGCCTGAACACCTCGGAGATTTCCCTGCTAACATTTCATGGAAGGAACTTCCCAATTTCCTCCTTTCTGAACCTTTCACTTGGAACTGGGATGGAAAAGCTGCAGCAGCAGCAAACCTCACCTGCACAGGGGAACATCCAGCACCTGCTCTGTGCATGGGAAATCATGGAAAACAGGAATTTTCACTGGGAAATATTCCCAGGGAATATTCAGCAGCCAGGTTCAGATTCAGTTTTTAGCGAGGATTGATTTATTATTCATCTGAAAGCGCTCAGTCACAGAATCCCCACGTTATTCCTGATTATCCACATTCCCATGTCCCTGGACAGAGTGATTTAGGCTTCAAAACATCCAGGAAAAAAGCTTGGAAAACACTGGACAGGTGGGGAAAACCCCAGGAGTTTCTTGGAGCAGCTGACTGGAAGCTTTGCTCTCATCCCAGGACACGTTCCCTGCTCTCATCCCGCTCCTGGTGCCAAGGAGAAGGGACCAGCTCCAGCTCCCAGCCTTAAACCACGAGCAGGGTTTAGCTAAGCTCGTTTAACTCCTTCTCCTGGGCAGTTTTGGGGGCTTCCAGCAGAGCTCCCCCACCCCTCAGTGCTCCTCACCCCTCCAGTGTTTCAGCTGCTGTTGAAGATTTCAGTGATTGATATTAAAAATCCCCTAAATACCTGCTTGCTCCTGCTTTTTAACCCACTAAAAAATACTCATTTCCCAGCAAATACTTCTGGGAGTTCCTGGGCTCAGAGCACAGTTATTTTAAAAAAAAATTCCCTAAAAACTGAATGTTAAACTGATTTCCACGTGTGTACAGCCAGTGACCACTAAGGCAGGAGCAAGATTATCCCAAATCTGCTGTGCTGAGTGATAGTACAGATAGATAGATAACATGATTTAAATCCCAAAAAAGATAATTAATCGTGGTTTTCTTCCCTATCTCACATCTATGACACATGCACAGACACACAAATTTCCACAGGAATAGATAATGCAAAGAGGAAAATAATGCTGTGAGGTTTTAATTACAAATAAATTCAGTTTAATCTACGTGCCACACTCCGGGAGATATAAAAGCATCCAGTATTAGTCCTGTAAGGAGGTGTAATTTGGACAGAGATATTTCACAGAGAAGGCAAAAAACCCAATAAGTACCAAAACCACATCTCAAAAAAAAATCACCTTTCCAAATTGCAAATTGCAAATGCAGCCCTGAGCAAAAAAAAACATTTCCAGGTATTTATTTTCTTGTTTAAATCCAAATCCTGCCAAGTTCAAAGTGCTGGGGGATCCTCTGAGCTCCAAACAGAGCCTCCATCCCAGGCAGGATCCCAGATGTTTCCCAAGTTATTCAGATTCACCAGGAACCAAACAATTCCTCACATTCTGACTCAGTAATTATTGCAGAACAGAGCTAAAAATCCCTTCAATATTTGCTTGCCCCTGGTTTTTAATCCACTAAAAACGAACCATTTTCCAGCAATGGAAACCCTGCTGATGGCAGAGCCTCCATCCCAGTTTATGTCTCCCAGTTTATTCAGCTTCACCAGGAATCCAACAATTTCTCACACTGGTTCCTGTGGCCTGGAAGCTTCTTGCAGGAGGATTTTTGTGCCCTGTTTTAGCAGAACTCAACATTTCAAGTGTGTCTGAGATCAAATGTGAGCAGTTCTGGGAATCCTGAGAATCCTGAGCTCAGCTCCATGTTCAGGGACTCCTCATCCCAGGAAAAGCTGCTTTTCCTCACCTTGTGTTTGCAGAATCACCTCATAAAACCTTCTCATCAACAAGAACAAAAAGCAGATCTGCTTCTCTCAGCACAGCCATGCCATGAAAAAGGATAAAACGTCAAAGAAAACAAAAAAACTGCTCCAATAAATGTTGGGTTCCTGGGGACTGAGGACAGATCTGGTGACAGAGAGCAGACAAGAACCCTCTGTGAACTCTGTCCTCAATCCAGCTTCTCCTTGGAGAGGGAAGAAGCCAAAAGAGGGAGAAAACAGAAGGAGAAAACATCTTGCAGGAATGATGAACCAAGCTGGGCCAAATACGAAATATTTCGCTCAGGTTTTACACTTTTGTGAGTTATTTATTTCACCAGGAAGGTCCCAGAGTGGCTTTGACTCTTTAAAACAGGCACTAAAATTAGATTATCCCAATGAATATCAAGGAAAACTCAGTCCTGCTCCTACCTGCCCATCCTGACCCACGTGGACTTGGTGTATCTGCAGGTTTCCCTGGAAAAGGAGAGAATGGATAATCAGCACAAGGTTGGGATTGCAAAAACTGCAAAACATCTGATTCAATATGAAGGAAATCCATGAATTTGGGAAGTTCTGCTGAAGGTTCTTTAGGCAATGCAGCTCCAAAAGAAGTTGCACACCCAGCATGTTTTGCTTTTGGAAGTTACTGGAGAATCTGTTTCCATGCAAAATTTTTCTGAGGTAAAACTTTTGGGTTTCTTTCTTTACATAAACCTACAAATTGAAATCCAAGCCTTCTTAACCCAGAATTGGCCATATAACACTTTTACAGGGTTGCAGAGCTATTTACTACTTGTTTTTTATTTTATCCTCATTCCATACTGAAAACCAACACAGTTCTATTACAGGGATCACATCTATAACCAAAAATAAATAAATAAATAAAATAAAATCTCACTAAATCAAAGTATTTTAAGCTCCTAAGTCCAATAAGGAAATCTTTTTGACATGAAGTTTTTATTCACATGCTCACAGATGTCTTTCCAAAAGTACACTTGGATTAAGGAAAGGCAGCTTCCCAAAAGAGCCTTGCAGTGAAACAGCACATTTTGGAGGACAAAATCCCAATTTCTGTGCAGTTTCTCTTGCTGGCAGCTCCTCTCTCACTTGTGTACATTGTCATCAATTTAAAACCAGATGTTTTCATCTGTCAGGGACAAATGCAGCCTTTGAAAGTCCCGCAAACAAGAAGAGCCAAAGGATGCAGGGTGTGCTGGAACCTCGGGATCCATTCCAGCAATCTCTGCTGAATCATCAGGTTTGCAGTGGTTCTTTACCCAAAAACTCCTTCAGTTTTATGGCAGCACCACACATCAGAGCCAGGGTATTTTAATTCTTTCTTCTCTCTCTCAAGGCCTGACAGGCCCTTCAAAGGACAAGCCTTTAACTATAATATTTATAGAATTTTTATGATAATATTTATTCTCCAGTAGCTGCCTGTGTTAACAATATTCCTTCACAAAGTGGTTTTATGAGCTGTGATTTGGGTTCTTTGGACAGGGATTAAACCAAGCCAGGCAGATCCACTTCCCAGAGAGGGAAAAACCTTGACAGGGAAATGGGACAGATTCAAATTGTTGCCTGTATTAATCTGATTTTTCTATTCCTTCTTCATTTAAAAGAAGAAGGAACAGAAAAATCCAAGAGCAGTTTCAGCAGTCATGAGATTTTTAAATAACCAACAACTGCAGTAAATACATAGGGAAATCCACCTGGATTTGGGAGCTGAGCCAAAATTGGAGGGTTTAGGATTAAATTTATCCATTTCCAGTTATCCATATCCACTTATCCATCCAATTCCACTGAACAATTTTTCTGGAAAAAAAATTAAGAAGTGCAAATGCTGCAGTGCCAGATGCAGGAGTGAAGGGTAAATTCATTCTGGAATATTTCTTTATTAGATGGTGGCTGAAGGTTTCTCCAACTCCTGTTCAACCATGAAAGGCCCTGAGTGCTCTGAGCACGTTTAGTTCATCGACCTAAATTGAATAATTTCATTTTTAAGCAATGCAAACACCTGAACTGGTTTCCTATTAAACTCTGTCAGCACCAAATTTCCAAAGACCATCAGCCTTATGCGACAATTAACACACATTGAGCTGTTTATGCTGGTGAGGGAGGGAAAATATTAATCAAACTAATAAAACTAAAATAAATATAAATCATAATAATAAAAAAGGAACCCTAGAGACAGAAGCAGCAGGTTCTAAAGCCCATTTTCTGCTGGTTCCAGCAGGTTTTCTCATTTTCCCTCAGCTCCCAGGGTTCCAGGCTTTGCTCACCTCGCTGTCCTGCGTGATCTGGACCTGCTCTCCCTGGGGCACCTGGGCTATGTGGAGATGGCCCTGTGGGATCCACAACAAAAGAAAACACCAAGGAGCATCAGAGGAAAATCACAACCCCAGGAAGCAGCTCCTGCCTTGGAGGCAGCAGAGTTTCATGGGCAGAAGCAAAATGTGCAATCAGATCATCGAGGAGCTTTAAAAAAGCAAAGTGCACCTGTACTGCCCCAGCTTGGGATGGAAATAAAAGCAGAGGGACTTGGGCCACAGATTGGTTCATTTCCACATCTAATAATCATCATCATCATCATCATCTAACCTCTAAGAAATGGTTATGTTTTTCTATCACCTTTGTTGACTCAATCTTTAATTCAATTTAAATATCTGGAAATCTCAGTTTTAAACCAGATATACCAAGACACTAAATATCTCCAAGAGTGAGGTTTCCAAAGGTGTCTCATTATCCACCTATTTTTGCTCATTCACTGGAGCACAGGGCACACTAAGGACTCTCAGCTGCTGGGATTTGGCAGAAAATCATTAATTTGAACAATTCCCCTGATTTGTATTGATGAGATTCTGCCCTGATGGTTTTAATTCTGTGATATTTGGTCTTGCTGCCCATTCCCACCTCTCTCCTGGTGCCATTTGATGCCAGCAAGGAGAAGAGTGCCTGGAATTCCTTGTGCATCCTGCCCAGCCACTGTGATTTACCTGAGGGGAGATTGGATTCTAAATAACCTCCCGGAGGTTTTATAAAGCTTTGTGTTCGTTTTAATATGCCTGCATGAGATTAAAGATAATCATTTGGAATTCTGTCAAAGGCCCCTCTGATTTTATAACACAAGAACAATTGCCTGTGATTTTCAAAGACACACAGATCCCTCTATTTCCAACAGTTTCATTTCCTTTGGAAGGAAACTGGCTATTTATAGGGAGAAAAACCACACTGAAAGTGTCCCTCTGACAATAGGGGCTGGAGAGAAAATTATAGCACTGCCCAGCCCAGGGGGAGATTAAAATCACTTTCCCTCCTTCACATCAAACTCTCAGCGCTCCCAGGAAAAAGATGGAATGTTTAGAAGATCCATTTATAGTGATTTTTTTTCCCCTGGACTCCACAATTTGAAGGATAATTAGTATATCCAGGTCCTTTAATGAGGCAAGTTTTTATCATTTCCATCTATGAACAAAGCATCTGTTCTATTAAAGTCATATATTTCATATAATTTTCCTTTCTACCTTGTCCTTCAAGACTTGAAAAGTACTTTTCAGTCATCAGTTAAACCTCACCCACAGATCCATTAAGAAAATCCACTTTGAAATTCTACATGGAATTCAAAAGACAAAGGAACTCCCAGGATAATACTGAAAAGTTATGGCAAAAGTGAAGTGGAAAAGGAGGATTTCCACCCAGTTCCTGCACAAAAAGAATTACTTCACTGAGGACACTTTTTAAAAACAATTTGAATTTTGAACAATCCTGTGGAACACAAGAATTAAAGTGAAGGTGTTTTTTTTCAGAGTACACTAAAACCACAGATAAAAACCATCAGGCCTGATGGTGGTGGGAGTGTCAGGCTTAAAAAATGTCAATATTTAGAACTTTCACTGATGGACAACACAGCTCAACAAACACACATGGGAAGGACTCAGCTCCCAGATGTTCAAAAGTGCCTGAGAATGCAATTTTACAGAAAAAACAAATAAATAAATGTGATTTTGTTTTGGAAGTCACACCAGAACTACCTCTGAAGTGTAAATCACTAAGTAAACACAGCCAGGAAAAGGCTGATAATTCTCTATATAATAACCAAACTGCATTAATTGTGTGAGCAAATCCTGCATGGAATTTTTTTGCCAAATAACTCTAATTTTATTATTTTTTTTCCCCCACAAGCCTGCAGTGTTTATCTTCTGGAAAGCTGAAGTGCTGGCAGGTTCTGGTTTCAGGATCAAACATGACACTGCAGCTGAAGCAGAGCTGCTTTGGGAGGAGGGATTTAGGAAAAGTTGAGGACATACTACTTGGACTTGTCCATCCTCTCCGATCTGGTGGATCTGGACCTGCTGAGCGTTGGCCAGGGCGTAGTGCAGGGCCTGGGGCTGGTTCTGCTGCATCTCACTGGAAGCTGACACCGAGCTCTGGGATCCCTCTGGAAGAAAAAAAGAGACCAAATTCCAGCTTGATTTGATGTGAACACCCCAAACCGCTCCTAAAACCCCACAGAAATCAAAGCCAGTCGTGGATACGGATCATCCCTCCATGAATATTCCCGACCACGTGGACATTTGCTACAAACCCCACAGAATTCCAAAGGCTGGGAGAGCTCCTGCTTAAAAAAAAAAAAACAACAAAAAAAACCACCTTTTGGAATCAAAATCCCAGATTCTGCAGCTGTAAAAGTCCCATCAGAAGAAAACCACAGAGTTTTCCTGAGGAATTCAATGGTTTTTGTTCACCTGACAACGATTTCTGCCACCACCACCCCAAGGACACCTTTAAAAACCCATCCTGCCTCTTGTGAGAAATGAAATTATCTGATAAATAAAGGGAATATCCCAATTGTTTTCCAAGATCCAGCCCCTACAATTCATATTGACACACATCAGGTCTGCACTTGTGTTTTTGAACCTCAGAATGACAGGTGGAGTTCTTGACTTATTAAATTTAAACACTCCTCACACTGCAGAGTAGAAATGTTCCTGAAAAGGGAATGTTAAACATGAAAAATGGGAGTTATCTTCATGTAAAAGGGACAAAAACCACCAGGAAAACCTCAGTGGGATTTCCAGAGGGTAAAAACTCGCATTGGACACGTCATAGATCCATTTTGAGGTTTCCCAGCTGCAGGGAAAGGATTTTTCCTAAACAGAAGAAGCAAAAGGCAAGTAAAAAAGGACAGAAACCATTAATTTTTAATATCTCTACTAAATACTCCAAAATTTATTCTGCAAACACACTGCTAGTTCTGCTGGAATGAGCTTTATCCACTCAAATATTTTAATGGGAATGTTCTTCAATAAAATCAGCCATTTAAGAGGGTTTTTTTTTTTCCCTCCTGTCTGCAAATGTTTGGGCAAAGATAATTTTGAGGTTTAGGTCTGAGCATGGGAACTGGGAAGTCCAAACCACCGAGTTAATATTTATTTATTTGTTGAAAAGTTGGGTTGTTTAACAATTCAGGCAGCTCTGATTCTGTTAACGAGCTGGAACACAGAATTCCAGCCACAAATTTCCACAGGAAACGAGGGAAACACAACAAATTCCACATTTTTGCCTGTTGGACGCACCTTTAATCCCTCACATCTCAGCAGGTAACTGCAGAGCTTTTACAATTCCTCAAATGGTGCTCCCTGTGCAATTCCAGCTTTTCCTGAGCTGTTGCTGCCTGGAATTTGCTGCACGGAATTCCAGGTGGGACTGAGGAATCCCAACTGGCTGAAAAGTGATGAACATTGTAGAAGAAGTGTCCCATCAATCAAATAAAAATGGGATTTTTTCCAACTGGGATACTGTTGGCTTTGTCATGGCCACTGGAAGGAATGGATATCCTGGAAAAATCCTTTCCTGAGCCTCTGGTTTTCACTTTTTCCCCCATTTCCATTAATTTATTCCTAATATTTGATGCAATTAATTTCTCTATTTTTTTAAATTTACAAATAACATTTTGTTGGGATGATTGAGAAAATTCACTGCTATCATCTGCTCCTTCAGGGCTCCCAGAAGGATGCCCTCAGGATTCTGAGGGACAAATTCCCTCAGGATTTTGAGGGATAAATTCCCTCAGGATTTATTATTTCCATCATGTTTCCCAGTCTTTCCCTATGGATTTCAACTGAGCTAAATTACAACTCAAGTCAAACCACAGTATGCAAATACAGAATACTTCATTTATAATATTTATTTTCTGATTAAGTTATGCAATAAAAGATTATCAAAGAAATAAAACCCACAGCAGATAAAATATATATTTTATCTATATTTATGATAGTCACATATCGAAGTGCATTTATAAGTGTAAGACCCAAAAATCTTGGTTTTTTAAGTCATTTTTGGCTTCAGAGGAGAGAAATTATTGTGCTCTTTGGAGGTGCAAGAGGAGCCACAGCCTGGATGGAAACACTCTGGAGTCCTCCTCTGGTCACCCATAAATAGATTTAAATTTGGCTTCGGTGCAACAACCAAAATTGGGTTTTTTTCCTTTGTTTTGCTGGATTTTTTTTTGGTGTTTTTCTCTCTTAGGAAGGAAGAAGAGAGAGATTCAGCCACATCTGAAAACAAAACATCCTTTATGAGTCCTGGTTTTCCCCCCTCTTCCTCTGGGAGCAGACAAAGGGAATATTTATATTATTTTATAAACATTCCCCACTACAAACAAACACAAGCACGAGGTGCACACCCAGCTCGGGGAGAGGAGCTGTCAGCAGTGAGAAATCCCTGGAAACCATCGAGCCTCACATTTCCAATCTGGATTCTTGGAGAATCCCTGGCAGGAGGAGCCAGAGCTGAAATCCAGAATTTTCCAAGAGTTCCCAAGGGATGACTGGAACACGAATTGCCACGTTATCCATGGAATTCCCAGAGAACCTTCAAGGATGTGTGGGTTTAATTCTCAGCTAAAATCGCTTTTTAAGGCAAGATCTTTGGTGTTTTCTAATCTGTTCCTATTCCAATTCCTATTTATCTGTTGAGGATTTTCATTTTCATGGAATCATGGAATTGTTAAGGGTGGAAAAGACCTTTAAGATCATCAGGTCCATCACCAAGGTCACCACTGGCCACATCCCCAAGTGCCACATCCATGGGATTTTTAGACACTTCCAGGGATGGAAGCACCACCACTGCCCTGCACAAAATATCCCAATGCTGGACAACCCTTTCCATGAAGGAATTTTTCCTGATCCCAACCTGAAATTCCACTTGAGGACGTTTCCTCTCAATCCTGTCCCTTGGTGCCTGGGAGAAGGGACAGATTCCACAGATCACAGGAGGGATTCACACTTTGGGATTCTGGAATTACAAATTGTTTTCCTGGTGCCCAGAGCTCCACCCTCACAGCTCTCCTCACAAACAGGGATGCATCTCCTCACAGTCCCAGCAAGGGAAGGGGAATGGATGGATTAACCATCCCCAAACCCCCAAAAAAGCAGGAAAAAACCCTTCCAGAACAATGGAAATAAACCTGTAAGCCATCACCTCCCCCTGCCTCAGCCCCCAGTGGTGTGAAACAGCTTTGAAGATTTGGCTGCACATCCAGTTTTTAATGTGACACCTCAGCACAGGCCTAAATCTCCACATAAATCCCAAAGTCAGGGAACTAATTAAAAATTCCAACATGGAAAACTGTGATAACAGCTTGAACAATCTGCAAAGAAATGAAAAGAAAGGAAGAAGGCACTTTTCAATTAATCCTCCTCCCAAACCCCTCATTTCCTACGGCATTCCCTGCACAGACTCCAGCCCCTTCCAAAGGAAATTACCATGGCAGCCACGTGGATGTCTCTGCTTGGGAAAAACATGGGGAAAACACAACTTAGGTACTGAAATGTTGGCTCCAAGAGCAGAGCAAACCACGGCAATCAACACCTCCTTTCCAAAAAAAGGCAATGGATTCCAGCAAAGAGGCAGATAAAATCAGGAAAAGCAACTTCTGCCTGAATTTAACAGCCAATTAAATGGAGAAAAATCTTAATTAACATCTCTGGGGGTGAAGGACAAAGCAAATCCATTTGTGTTTTCCCACCAGGCTCCCCAGACATGGTTTTCCCTGCAGGTTGACCCCCTTGCACACCGAATTCCGAGCCTTGGAGGGTCTGTGGGCTCAGCCTCCTGCTTTGCTGTCGTTTCCAGAGTTAATTTTTCCATGTGATGAACAGAGCAGAGAGGAAATCTGTTGTCACTTTTCACCACACTCCAATCAAAGCCACGTGCTCCAGGAAATGTTAATCCCAGCAAGCCGGAAAAGCCTCAAAGCTTTGGCATTTCCAACAAGTGCAAGAGGAGAGAATTTGAACAACAATCCTGTTGTGATGCGAATAATTCAGGATTATTAATTGTGTGCACAATAATTCATTTTAAAAAAATTAAAAATCCCAAATAAATGAGGTTGGAAGCGGCCTCTGGAGATGATCTAATCCAATGTCCTTCCTCAAACCATGGGCAACCACGACTGGTGGCTTTGGGCTGCACCCAGGTGGATTTTGATGTCTCCAGGGATGGTGACAACCTGTTGCTGTGCTCAGGCATCCTTAAAATTCCTCAGAGCCAAGGAAACCAAAGCCAGGGCACAGCTGGGTGAGTTTTAAGCTGCCATATTTGTCCCCCCGCCTGCTGCCACAGCACTGCTGAAATCCCCAAGGTTTGGGCTGGTCTGGGTTGGGAGGGACTCCTTGCACAGCCCAGGCTGCCCAGGGGTGAATTCAGGTGGTTTTGCACCCCTGGAACATTTTACTCACAAATCAATTTCGTGGAACTGAGAGGAAAAAAATGGATCTTCAGCTTAACCGCAACAAGAAACCCACCCAAACTCATGATCCTGCAGGAATCCACTGACTCTGGTTTACATCTCTACAGGTGTCTCCAAACCTCCAAAACAGACTGAAGATGAATAATTTGGATAATAAATCTCAACACCACTCAAGGAGTACAGGCTAATGAGCACAGGCTGCAATATCCACCTACTGCTGCCTTTTTATCCTGAAATACTGATTGCTGAAAGACTGAAAGTAAAAACCCCATCAACATAGAGGGCTTATGGTTATCATTACATTGATTAGTTGTTTTAATTTGAGGATTTTGGATGTGATTCCCTGTTCCAGCACATAAAATTTTCCATTGAAAGCAGATTTTGTCATTCTTTGCATGAGATACAGTGGTTAGTGTTAACATGCAACCAAAATTTTTATGCAGGCAAATAAACTGACTTCCTTTTCTTTGGGCTGCCTTCCAAAGCCCTGTTTTTAATATCTAATGTACAAAAGTCCCAGAACACTGCTTTATATTAAAAGCATGAGCCAGAAATGTCCTCAGAGAACGCTCCTGAGGTCAGGATTTTTCATTTGTTATTACGATCCAGGCCTCCATACCTAGATGGAAACACGGAATCACCTACAGCACATTTCATGTCTGCAGAGGAAAACACTTCAGGAACAGCGTTTAGCACGTCCCAGTGAATGGTGTGAACACACTGGGAAGGATTTAGTCACTTGATTCCTCTTAGGAACAACAACTGCAAGGATATTTGGACTTTCTACTCAAAAGAACTGAGAGTGGTAAAATTACAAAAATACAGCACAAAGCTGCAGGAGCTGAATCCATGGGGGTGGACAGAAAGCAGGCTTAGATGGGATATTGGGAAGGAATTCCTGGCTGGGAGGGTTTGGAGGGCCTGGCACAGATTCCCAGAGAAGCCGTGGCTGCCCCTGGATCCCTGGAAGTGCCCAAGGCCAGGCTGGAATAACCTGGGACAGTGGAAGGTGTCCCTGCTCGTGGCAGGGGTGGAATTTGAAGAATGTGGAATCCTGGAATGATTTGGCTGGAAGGGATTCTCAGCACCAAGCCAGACAGCCTGAATTAAAATTCAGGCACCTTGGAAAGCAACAAAATATTATTTTGTGGGGGGGGAAGGTTTGGTTTTCACCTGAGCCACTGTAGGAGGAGGATGAGGGTGTTCTCCTGGAGAAGCTTTTCACAGCCAGGCTCTGCCCTCGCTGCTTCCTCCTCCACGCTGTCCTGCACTTGGAGTCGATGCTCTGCTTGATGCGGTACCAGTCCGACTCAGTGATGCCAAATTTGTAAAACAGGTGGCCTGGAACGATGGAAAAATGAGAGATCAATCAACACAAACCTGTATTTTCCAGAAAACACGGAGAGGACGCAGCCAGTCCCACACAGCTCTGTACCTGTGCAAAGACACCCGAAGCCGAGCAGTGACAGAGCTCCAACAAAACTTATTCCCAAAACTTCATCTGCACAGTTCTGGATGTAAAAAGTGCCAGCAGCCCATGGAATTTTATCAGCTGCACCCAGATCCGTGGAAGCTGCACTGTTACATCCACGCTGTGCCAAAGGAGGATCCAGAGCCAAAGCTGGATCAAGGATTGTTTCTCACTGACAGCACCCCACAGTAAGTCTGATTGTAGAATCAGAATAAATAATCAAATATAAAAATATCAAATTTGACAAATAACCAAAAAAATCAGATACAAAATAATAAATAATCAGATATGCCAATAATAATCAATAATCAAATGATCATAAATCAATATAAAAACAACCATATAATCAATATACAATAATCAAAACAATCAATTTTCAAATAATCAATAAACAATAATCCAATATAATAAATAATCAAATATAAAACTGCTGAAGCAGGAAACTGCATAAAACTCCCTATAAAAAAAAAAATGAACTCTTTTAAAGCTGGGTTCAAAATTGATCCAAATCCAGTAAAAACCCACAACTCAAAATGAGGATCCTGTGCACATTTACTCCCAGAATTTGGGCATTTTAAGAGCTTCGGGATGACCTTTGCAGCCCTTGGTGCTACGTTGCCAAAGTGTTCCATAAACACTTTAAAACTGGGAATGGGCTGTAAAACTGGGAATTTAACTGGGAATGTTGTGCATTGTCAGCTCGAATTATTGCACACTTTCACCATTTCATTGGGAGCTTCTGAGGGTTTGGATTTTCCTAAAGCACCAACACTTGAGAGCAAAAAGAACTCCAAGCTGCCACAGCTGCAGAATAAAAAAATACCTGAAAAATCCATTTTTTGCCCACCTAAAAAGAGGGAGATGGATTTTTATATGGACAAGTGGAATGGCTTTAAACTGACAAAGAAAAGGGTTAGGTGGGATATTGGGAAGTAATTCTTCCCTGTGAGGATGGGGAGGGGCTGGGATGGAATTCCCGGAGGAGCTGTGGCTGCCCCTGGATCCCTGGGAGTGTCCAAGGCTGGGCTGGAGCAGCCTGGGACAGGGGAAGGTGTCTCTGCCCATGGCAGGAGTGGAATTAAATGAACTTTAAGGTCCTTCCCACCCAAATCATCTCAGGATTCTCTGACTCAAACCCCCTAAATTCCAGCAGAACCCTCTGAACATTGAATATGTTCATACTCTAAACCTTCAAAATTCAACACTGAACAAGCCAAGGCTGCCAGAGATGCTTTTACTCTACAGGACAAAGCTTCAAGAATCTCTTAAAATTCTCATTTTCCTTTTCCTACCCTGCAAAGTAAAATAATCTTTTCCACTTACTGGGCTTTCCATCTTACTCTGAGATGGGCTCCTAATCCTGGGAAGGACCTGCTTAAGCTGTTGTATATAGAACCTAAAGAACAGGATATGGGCTGCTCCTGCAAGACAAATGATTTGAAGCCTGGAGCCACAAAATTCCAGGTTTGCACAAACTAAAAGCTCCAGTTTCCTCTGCATTACAAATGAGTCCTCAAAGCCTGAAATCTGCAGGCCCTAGCGGGGCTAAGTGGAGAACTGGATCTCTTGTGGCATCATTTTTTAAAATAAAATTAAATTTTTTCAATGTTTTCTTTATTTTTTTGTAGCAGCAATTTGAAATAAAGGAGAGCACGCACAAGAAGGAAACACTGGACCCCAAAATCGAATTCAAAAGTGCTTTAAGGTCCCCAAGATTTCTCACTTCTAAGTGAGAACTCAGAGAACTTTACAGCCCTGAGTGGTGTCTCCAAAATGGGACAGGAGGAAAATGGGCTGAAATCCCCATTTGCTGCTGTGCAAGTTTCCTTTCCACAGGTGTCAGCAAAAGCAGAGCTTTTTCTAAATTCTGGATTCAACCCCTGAGCCCACAGTGCTCAGCCATTCCCAGAGACAGAAATGCTCAGCAATGTTTGCAGGGGTGGCCAAGAAATCCAGATTTATTATAAAATTATATAAAATTATTATATTACCTCACCCTCAGGAGTCCCACAGAAAACACCAGGCTCAGCATGAGTTTGGAGAAAGAACAACTCCATATTTCACTCAAAACTGCATTTTAATGACTTCCAAGGTGTCTCAGTGGCTGGACTGCAGGCAGAGAAAAATCCCAGGGAAAAGCTGCCTGGCTGGGAATTCCAATTATTCCAGGATGACACCTGATTTAATCCATGGGATATTCCAGGATGCCACTTGATTTAATCCATGGGATATTCCAGGATGCCACTTGATTCAAAGGGAAATAAAAGTGCTCTCAATTTTTCAGGTCAGGAGTCGCAGGTGCAGCTTGAGGAACAGGCTGAGCACCAGAGCTGGGACACAAAACATCCCCAAAAGTGCTTGATTAAGGGAAGGAAGGAAAAAAACCTTCAGAAAACTGAAAGGGAGGAGGTTTAGGGTTATCCCAAAGATATTGGGAAGGAATTCTTGGCTGGGAGGGTTTGGAGGGCCTGGCACAGGGTGGCCAGAGCAGCTGTGGCTGCCCCTGGATCCCTGGAAGTGCCCAAGGCCAGGCTGGAATAACCTGGGATTCCAGAAGATTGGCATTGAATGAATTTTAAATCACTTCATCCCAATCCATTCCATGATTCTCCCTCCTGACCAAACTGATCATTAATCAGTGTGATAAGGAATGGCCAGGAAATGCTGGCAGACACCACCAACCCCATGGAGAGAACAGCTCCAGAGGAAACCATGGAAAACAGACAACATCCTCACCAGGACAGGGGCAGACAGGAAAATTTTAGCCTACAGAGCCCCAGAACCATCAGGGACAGATTTTCCAAGCCAGGCAATCTCATTTCCTTCCCTTAATCCATGAAATTCCCAGTTGCTGTCAGGGTGTCAAACTGGTCCAGACAAGCAGTGCTGTTTACAGAAATTTTTACCACAACTGCAGACCTGCTCATGTGCAAATCAGGCCTGAAAAATTAACCCTAAAGCACAAAGATAACTGATAAAAAACCAAAATGAATTTCAGATGGAAAATCTGTGCAGTTGCTATCGCAATCTAAAATGTTGTTTTACAACCAGGTCCTTAGCAAGACATTTCCTACCAGGAAAAATCTCAACCTAAAGGCAGTGGAAGGGTTTTTAAGCAGATAAAAAGTTCCCAATGGCTTTAAAAAGATGATTTACCTGCAGGAGAGAGAGAAATCCCCCAAACATGTGCACACAATAGAGGAGAAGTGGAGCGTGCTGACTCTGCTCCTTATCCACAAATGATTCCAGGCAGGAGAGCTCCCAGCTGCCTCATTCCCAGCATGTCCAACACCAAACACACCCAGAAAAGCAGGATTTGGGAAATGAGACCTCTCACTTGGGGAAATCCATAGGAGAGAAAAGACAGGAATGCTTCAGGGAGAAGAGATCTGGCTTTTTTGGGGATCATTTATTCTCAAAAGCTGCATCAAACGCTGGCATTTTACACAGCAGAGCCACAGAACAACACAGCAAAAAATCCAGTCGGGAACATAAATCAGCACTTGGACCAAAAGACAATATTTTGGAAGATGGATGCCCATAAAAGAAGAGTAAAGTACAGGATTTGGATGATTTAAGACCAGCTGAGTGTGTTTTTAGTGATCTTTTTGTGAATGGTGTTTCAAAAAAAAAGGTGTCCTTATTTTTAAACAATAAAAGCCCAAAGTTTGCTTCTAGGGGGGAGGAATCTCATTTTTCCTCAACAAAGCTTTCCATGAAAAACACACCAGAGACTTAAAAATAATTCAGTGATTTCATAAATTGCAGGAGTTTGGGTGATTTCTACAGACAGAGAGATCCTGGCTGCAGCTTGGGAGATAAAATGGGCTGCAAAGAGAATTCAGGGAGCCACAGGGGGAAATCAAGGATCAACATTCCCATCTTAGCAAGGAAAAGCTCAGGAAGAAGCCAAAAATCAGGAAAATCAAGTCAGCTTTAAAAGGCAACAGGTGCAGCAAGCTGAGCCTGGGTCAGAGACACAGGGAGAATCTGGAGGAGTTAAAATTAAAATTAGCAACACAAGCAGGTTGGAAATAAATCTTTCTGTGGTTCTTTAAAGGAAATAAAAACAAGGGAATGCAAAGAAAAACAAAGTTTGGAAATACAAAGCAAAACAAGCTCAGAAATGCAAAGGAAAAAAAAAGATTTGGTACAAACATAGAGGTGGTGTCTGAAATGATTCAACACTCCCAAATTTTTGGAGAATCTGCTGGACAAAATAAGGAGAGAAAGGCTTGGGGTTTCCTAAATCCAGGACTAATTATAAACTGAGAAAATCCCAGGAAAACTGTGTTCCTGAGGAAGCAATCCTCTCTTTCTGATAGGTCAGAAGTCAAGGAGCAGAAAAAACAACCCCCACAGAACATGGAACTGTAAAGAAATCGAATTAGGAACAAATTGAGAAGGAAGAGGAGACATTTGGGAGATGAAAACCAGACAAGAAATATTCCATCCCGATCCCACACTCAGAACCAAACTCCATGTCAGGAGTTTCATTTTTCAAACACCCCAAGTTTGTGCTGCTTCCCATTCTCCACCAATCACAGATTTCCTTGCAGAGTTCAAAGGTAAATCAGTATTTTCATGGACTTGGCAGAGTTATGCTGAGGTGGCCCAGAAATTCCTGCCGGTTTTGGTGCATTTGGAAAGATTTGGGAAAGTGCAAAACTAACAGCCACATAAACACAATGTATATTTCTATTAAATATTAAATATATTAAATATTAAATGTATATTTATATTAAATATATAAACACAAATGTATTTCTATTAAATCTAAGCAGATGTGGGTGACTTCTCCTTCATTTTCCAATTCCCTCTAATTTTTAAAACTTAAAGAAAAGCACCAGGATGGGGAATTCATCTTAAA